CGGCCCCAACCCCCTGAATAAATTTTATGTTCACTTGGTGTGAACTTGAGATTCTAAATTAAAATACAGTACACAAAATCAATCACAAAGTTGCAGAAATGGTTAAAAAAATCCAGCATGGAAGAAGGGCGTCGTCGGCGCCCCCTAGTAGGTCATTTCAGGTAATGCTGTTGAATCGTTGCCAATCACTTACCACGGATTCCTAATGCGCATGCGTAGATTTCAGCTTCTTCAAGGAAACGCCGCTGTAGTCTCGAGCCAATGAGTTACTACCGACTCAAGCCTCTCCCTTAGGCGAGCCATAAAAGCGTCACAAACCCAAGACGGGCTTGGCTCGCCCCCAGTCAAATTGACAAGGACGGTTTACAAGGCACGACAATTGTTTGACAATAAAGGGCTTGTCTTTCGGGGATGGGCAAATGTGTCAAAGGGTTACTTCAGGCGCTGAAGCTGGACACCCTGTCTTCAGCCGCCGTCCTCGCCGGGGCTGCCGCCTGCATAACGGGAACTATGGTGGTGTTAGCCCGGGCGGTCGACGGCCGCCTGGACGCTCGGAGGAAGATGCAGAAAGCCAGAAATCTGAGACATGACAGCCTGCTGAGAGCTGAAGAGGCTGTCCTTCACTACAAGAACGCGGTGAGTTGAGATTTAAAAACGAAGTATGTATAAAAATGAATACGTTTTCTGTCGGTGATATTGGGCCGAGACTGGCTAAAACACATTATGTTTTGCCACAACGTTACATAGGTTAAAATCACAAGTAGTTCTCAAACTTTTTAAACCAAGAGGCCCGCAGTGTCACCTAAAAAAGTAAATTAAAAACACCACCATTAAACAAAAAAAAAAATCTGAATATTCTGCACATTTTAACATATGCCAGAAAAATATTGCTTTGTATACACCAAGGATGAGTTTATCGACTTTGCTGTGTGTGTGTACGTGTACTCAAGTGAGAGCTGTTATTTACTTGACGTGTGACTCTCCCTCCAGCATCCAAAGATGGATCCATCTCTCATTTTATCTTTGTCTCTGGCTGACCTGACAAATAAACTGAAGGATGGCCTGCTGAGACCCGAAGATGTGTTTTACTCCTACATGGAAAAGGTCCAGTATACTAAACTCAATCTTACTTATTCTACTAAAAGTTGAGAACTCAAGATTCCCAGTACCTTTCCCAGATTTATTGCTATGGCGCGCAAGGTCCACTGAATTAATCATTGATCCCAATGAGAATTATCAATAAAAAGAACTAAGGCCCGCCCATTTGTATTTTATTTTTTCTTATTGGGGGAGGTCGATGCCCTTACGGTATTTGGCAGAATTTTATCCCACCAAATACTGTGATGGGCATTAGGACGATTTTAAAAGAGCTACTTTCCGGCGACCGATTAATTGGCCGGACCCTAATATGAAGGATATTATTATAACTATCTTTTTTTTTTTTTTTTTTAACAGACTATCAATGAAAACAAAAGGTTAAACTGCTGCACCGCCATCCTGCTCGAGAGTTTTGACCATCTGAAAACGCTGGAGTCCAACAAGGGAGGTCTCCTGTATGGCGTTCCGGTTAGCATCAAGGATAACATTGCGTACAAGGTAATTGCAAGGTGGCTTATCAGTCAAACCGCTGACGCAGACGATCACCGTATTCAGTGCTTCAAAACTGTACTCGCACCAAAATGTAAATTATTAAAGCAGGTTAAAAAAAAAGAACATTTACATATACACAGTTAGCCACAGGCTAATTTCTTTTGATCTGCAGTGTCTTGTCAACATTTGAAGTCAACTTGTCTCCTGTTTACTGAGCATCAGCAGAAATATTCGGAAGCATTTTTCCCCATTTTCACAAATTTTTGCAATGCCCCGAGTGATAAAAGTGACATTTGAATATTTATTCAGTCACAAACGAGCAGAACTTGATTTGTAGCTGCTTTCAAAACACGCAATTGAAGAAAACTAAATTAGTTTTTAATTAACTGAGGAGTTTGGAATACTACCGTGCTCGTGGTTGATTCGCTTCCTGCTTACCTTAAACACCTTTTCGCAGCTTAATCCAAAACGTTTTTTTTTCCCCTCAACCAAAACTAAGACAACAAAAGGAGCACCGAGTGTGCGGAAAGCGTCAAGTTTCACATTATCCCTGCCAGGTAGCGAGGAGGAATTCATACTGTTATGTACCGGTAGTTGAAAACTCTCTGTCTCTGTTTCAGAACTACGACTCCTCCTGCGGCTTACTCGCCAACCTTGGCCAACCGGCCGAGGGCCACTCAGTTATTGTGGAAGTCTTGCTTCCGCTTTTGATTTAACAAATTAAAATATATTAATTGTATCAAGGAAATAACTCAGTGTTGGATTTGTTTTAGTGTCTCGTTGTTTATAATTTGCACTACATATAAAAGTTTTAATAAGTATTGATAACACCAGAGAGGAACCCTATTGAGAGACCGGACTTGGCCGTTTATTTTGAAAGACGGAAACTACCGACTCGCTAGCTTTCCTCATAGGTTTGACTTGTCCTGCAGTGTCCTCCAAATAAATCAGTGGATTTGGTTTGTGGTCGGGTCAGGACGCGGGACAGCAGCAAATATGGTCCTTGACGAGAAAGTGATCACGAACGGAGAACCAGACGATGTAAGTCGAAGTTGTTATCAAGGTGGATAAACGATCGTGTTGCCTTATGTTAGGTAACGTTAGCTTGTAGTTAGCCGAAGAAGGCTAAGCTAGGTGAGATGGTCCTTGCCCCCCCCCCCTTTCGTTAAATTGAGTGCATTTTGATTTTGAAGCATTTGTGTGTGCAAAATTAACAACAGTAAAGGATGTGGTGACTTATCATTAGAAATTGACAGCATTTGAATCTGTATGTGGTAGACAGGTGGTTGCAGTTGCAGCAAAGTTAAACGGTAATAGTTTTGGATTACCCATTATAGTTTGTATTTCGTTGTTACTTTTTTTTTTAAATTTTACTTCAGGCAAATGTCAATGTTTTTAGAGCAATATGTTATTCTTTTCAACTCGTTTTAAAGTTTTTGTTTTATCACTTTTATTTTTTTAAATATAAAGTATTAGTCGAATGCATTATTAAAAAGATAAGAATAAGTCACCTTTTTGAATGAGTAAATTCATTGTTACTACTGTAATTTCTGTTTGTTTTTCAGGAAGAAGAAGAAGAGGAGGAGGAAGACTTAGTGGTATATTGGACCACCACTTAGTTGTGGGCGATAGGGAATGTGCCGGCCCACGTATAGTGGAAATTGCCGTATAGTTGATGCTCATTGAAATTAAATTTAAATGTTTAGGGGGGGACATGTTCCAAAGTGTGTTTGGTCTCATAAGAAATTAAATAAATCCCAAAAGGGAAAAAAAAGAGTCAAGCTTATAGAGTCATGTAATTGTCATTTGCTTCTCCTGTAAGATTAAGAGAACAATCATTTAAAATTGAAAATCAGATTTACATACCCCCACCCCCATACCCCCACCCTAAGTCCATATCATGCAGCCTCACTACCCTTTTTAAATACCGGTACATAATTTTGAAATTGTATGTGACAGTGTTAGTTTCTGTAATGCTGCTGTTTTGCAGGATCCCCTGGAAACGATGCGCGAAAAGTGTGCTGAGATCGAGCACTGCGTACACACTCAAGCACGTCTGGAGCAATGCGAGACCAGAGTGAACGCTCGCTCCTCCACAACGGAAGACTGCACCGAGGAGCTTTTTGACTTCCTCCATGCTAGGGACCATTGTGTAAGTGAGAAGCGACTGCTTTTTTTTTTTTTTTTTTTTTTTTTTTTTTTCA